ACATAAATTATAAAAACTGTCTATTTGCAAAAGAAATTTGCATTGAATCATTTCTACGATAGTAAACAACATACATCATCTTTAAAACAATACATTTAGACAGTATTACAATTTATGTTACAACAGTCGAGTAAAACTTCAAATGGATTTATGTTTATAGAACACTTTCGTATTATTTTTGAACATAGTATACGTTGTACAATGTGTGTACAAAAAAAAAAAATCTCAGAAACCCTATATAATAAAGTTCTCTTTTAAATAAAATTTGTTAAAAAAATTCTCAAAAAATAGCCTATTTTGGGAAGCCTTACTTCATTAAAACGTATCATGGTCTCGTTCCAACTTTTTAGATAATAGTTAGCTGTATTAAGTTTGAAAGATCGAATGGACAAAGCGCAAAGTCGCGTTACCATCTCATTGAAACGTACTCAAACGAGTCTAGTGTTGAGTGGTGTCTGGTCAACCAACTTACTACCAGACTATGGAGAGGGTTTACATAGCGCGCGCGAGTTGTCCGTCGTTATCGAACGCGTAATACGGTCCTCTTCTTCTAGGTTCCATGAACATTCCTGGGGACATGAACATAGCAAAAGTTGGACGTTCAGTCCAACGCGAACGAAACTTCTTCTCTTTACTCATCCACCGAGTCGTCGACCTTACACACTTTTTCTCTTTTTCACCATTAGACGTACCGAGTGTACTTACAATTAGAAAAAAAGAAAAAGAAAAAAAGAAGAAGGAAAGAAAAATGAGATAAAAGGAAAAAAATGAAATGAAAAAAGGAAGTAAAGATCTTGAAAACGTCTGACTTGTCTGTCTTTCTATTTTTCTCTCTCTCTCTCTCTCTCTCTCTCTCTCTCTACTTGTAAGAGAAAAAAGGATAAGGGGAATAGTGTTGTAGAATTAATTAATCTTTTCTTTTTTTTTTTTTATAATACTAGGTCACACAAGTTTCTTGATTTGTGACTCTTTTTTCTATTTGCAAAATTAACAAATAATTAAACTTTAAAATCCGGATACGTCTGACTTGTCTCTTACTACTTATAAGGGAAACAAATTGACACAATTCTTGGATCATATAAATATCTACAATCTATAATGGAGATAATTTAAAATAAATCGTGGTAATCTAAGGTGATAAGTAAATATTAAAAATAAAAGGAAGACAAAAAATGGTATTTTATGTGGATTTTCGATATTAAAAAAAAAAAGAAAAAAGAAGAAGAAGAAGAAAATAGAAGAAAAGGAAGGAGAGATTTATCTTAAAAAGAAACGAGGAAGATGGATGGATAGATGGATAGATAGAGAAGAATGTATCTCGTAACGGTGTCAGTGCGTGTGCGCATGTGCTGTAGATGTACTCGAGCTTGCAAGCTTAGGGGAATCGTCATTCGCAAGAGCTTGGAAGCTTGCGATACCCGAAGAACTGGGTCAACGTGAACACCGTCGTTCTTAACGCGTGCGCACATACATATATATACATGCATACATACATACATACATGAATTCACATATAGATAGATGAATGTATGTACGTGCAAGCACGCAGTGGGACAAGTATACTACACGTTAATTACGTATGTATAGAAGAACATAGCAGGTAAGAGAGGAAGGTCTCTTTTGTCTTCTCGCATATCTCATCCGAATAATTTCCTTCCCATCGATATTGGAAGCTGTAGAATTCGAAACTCGGTTGAATCAAATCGAAGTATCTCCGTTTTAATTAATCTTCATACTTCGATTTCTCGTTTTATTCAAACAAATCTCAATTTAGAAGATACGATGTATCTATAGTAATCATTTTGCTTATAACATTTATTCAGTCACATTACTATTACATTTTAATATGTTTATACGTGTGTGTTTACTTGATTGTAATAATAATTTCATAAAAATTCGAATTATTTATTCTCTTCGATATTTCTCTCATTTCCTCTTTCTCTCTATTTCTCATTTATTTATTTCTTTTTTTATTGTAAATTATCGAATAAAATCTTGACATAATTTTACACATGGAATCGTTTCGAATGTGAAATCTTTTTTTTATTCCTTTTCGTATTTTATTAACCGGAACGAACAGGAAGCAATTTCTTTTTGGTGAAAATATCGAGGAGATATTCGCATAGGGACAAATACGATAAGAGCTGTTCAAGAAGTAAAAATAAATGCTTACGGTGCTCGATGACGGACTCGTGTGTATAGCTTGTGGAAAATGTTGACGATTAATGAGGCTGATTTCGAGAAAGAGAAAAAGAAAGACAGAGAGAGAGAGAAAGAGAGAGAGAGGACCAAAGTGAAAGTGCGCAAGCCATCTCGAATTCGAATTCTTTGGGCCGGCCCGATCTCGTCGTCGAGGAGCCTCCGAAAAAGGCGAATCTGTCGTTCCATTGGTCGCCTGACTCGTAGAAAATGAGAGAACTGGTCTCAAAAGGGTACATAATGTATATGTACATAGTATAACAAGCAATAGTTATCTCTATGAAGCTACTACAATTATTGAAAATATTATTTTCTAATTGATTAATATTATATGTCCATATTTTATATGATAAATATAAATATTTTTTCTTATTTTACATTCTAAAATAAAAACATTTCTTTTTTATTTTATATTTAATATATTAAATCAACCGATACTTCATGTATACCTATTCCTACCGTGAGCGGTCCAATGACCGTGCTATAAAAAATTAAATACATTTTTCTTAATGTAGAATGAGACTTTGGATAATGAATAATATATTTTCTTTTATTTCGAAATAGATAATATAAATTTTATGCATTTTCACTGAATTTTTTTTACATATAACAAGATTCTTACAAATTATAACATATTTACGAATTACCGGCTGCGGTCAATTTAACTGCACGTGGTAGGTTTAATGTTAATATAATAAATATATAAATAATATAGTATAAACTAAAAAAAAAAAAAAACAAAATAGTATTATTACTTTTTACTTTTATATATTACACGAAATAGAAAAACTTTATTTCTACGGTATAAACGATAGTATGAAATATTTGTCGTATGCAAATTAGGTCTAATGCCATATATTAAAAAGCGAGGAAAAGAAAATGCAAAAATAATAACGTCATTTTGTATAATTATTATTTTATGCTGATTATTTTGAAATAGTAAAATTTCAATTTTGGATTATAATAAATGTATGAATTATATATATATATATTTAGATTAGAACGAACGGTGCGTTATATTTTAAAAATAAAAAAAAGTGGTATTATATCGCACTATTATTTCTTTTTATAGCAGAAAAGAGAAGCAGTGGGATAAATCGATTCCTCGAGAGGGTACTAGACGAGAGTTGCTTCCGAAACGGTATCAAAAGCCATCGTTGGTGCTGCTTCTCGAAATCGAGCACCCATTGCTCGATACCGATTCGTTTTCCACGATGCTTCTATAGAAATCGTAGATGCGATCAATAATGAACGTTCGATTGTAGGGCGCGTTCTAGAAGTGGGTCGTAAACGACCTACACTCGCTTTCCTGGGTTCTTTCTCTAATTTATATTTTATTTAACAATGTCTTACGTATGCATACGATCTGTTACTTGTATATTTTACGTTTAACGAACAATATCAAAAAGAAAAGAAAAATCTGATGGTTAGTATGATAAATAAAAAATGATCTCTGAAATAAATATTTTTAATAGGTCTCGCGATGAGATTTGAAATGTTACAAAATAATTACTTTCAATTTATTTGTTCGCGCTTAAAATATTTACATTTTATATTCACATTCGGGTGTAAATTATTAGAAAAAAATTATATCAGAAATTCTTCTCGCGTGTGCGTTTGTTCGCGTTCGGGGTGACGGAAAAATAAAACGATATTCATTTTTAAAGGTAATGTAAAAAGAACAAAAATATTCTACGAAGGTGTTCGTTGAAAAAGAAATAGGCGGGGCGGGGGGGGGGCGGCGGAGGGAATCGTTACGACACCTAATTTCGATTTTTTTTCTATCCTCTCTACTACTGACTTTCTCTTTTTTTTCCTCACCTCGTTTTTCTTTCTCTCTTTTTCTTTTTATGTGTGATCTAGCAGCGTTTCCTACTCGTTTCAACCCGTTCGAGTGCTCGTACTCGTAGCGTTCGCAGCCGCCTGCTACTGACCCACTTCCATCTCTGGGAATAACCAGCTCGCACACCTCGAGTCCACCCACATACGGAATCTCCCGCGCACACTAACACCCACAAACTTCGTTGATGCGCTACTACGAGCTCGTACGTATGTATGCGCGCGTCCGTTCTTTGTGGTGGTGGTGGTGGTGGTGTGGTGTGTACGCGCGCGCGCGCCACCACACACGCGCTTCTTCCTAATCAGTTCGTATTGCACGATCAAAGAACCAGCCGAGACGACTTTTCGATGGCACGTTCATTCTCCTTCTCTTTCTTTTTTTTTTTTTTTCTTTTTTCGAGCCTATTTTTTTCGATCATGTCGTCGTTTCAAAACGAAAGTCATTTAATCGCGCTGAATGAGAACGATTATTATTATTATTATTATTGTTGTTGTTGTTGTGTCGTTATTATTATTATTATTTTAACCTTTTATAACTCCATTTTTATTTTTTTCGTCTCAGTAGATAAAATCGTATAAGGTTAAAGTTATAGTATTGTTTTATATTTATATATAATTGTATTATATTAGAAATAAATACAAATTATACTTATATGACAAAAATGATCTATAACGTAATTTATATGATTATACAAAAATATATACAATTGTGGTATTAAAATACACTTTAATAACACGATGTAGTATTAATTATATTTATCAAAAATAAAATAACGAGATTGGGGATATGAAGTAATAAGAGAATTTGTGTTGATAAAATGATGGAATACTTAAAAAAAAATACAGACATTTAAATAAATGCGTGACTTTGAATTTTATACGAGGTTGTAAAAGGTTAAATAAGTTAATGATATGAAAAGAAATACGTAAAATGTTTAAAACATTAATTTGATGACATTTACCTGAACGAGTCGAGGAAAGTTTGGGAGTCGACGATCGTTGACGGCTTTCAAAACCACAGAAACAACGTTTATGAAACACTGAACTTCGTAGAACGATCGAATCGTCGTGTCTCGTATTTTTCGTTCGAAGCAAGTGTGAAACACCCACGTACGATGCACTGTAACATCAAAAGAAAAAACCAATATATATATATATATATATATATACATAATATATTACTCGTTAGTATTTTAATGTTCAACAATAAAATGAAAAATAATAATCAAACGAAAGGAAGAAAAAAAAAAATTACAAAAAAATAAAATAAAAATAAACAAAAAAAGAACCAAAAAATAAAATAAAAATAATAAAATAAACCTCAGTTATACATATAAAAATATCGTTCGAAATATTGTCACGTTTTTAATTGATCACGTTTATTTGTCAACGGTGAAAGAGAAAATAGTAAAATAGGTGACTATGGTTGAACGGAAGAGGAGGAAGAAAAGAAAATGGATTCTGTTAAAAGCCAGACGGGCCAAGGCGAGACTAACAACGTGGACCGTCTAATCGGGCTGCCTTTCGAAAGAAGAAACGAAACGAAACGAAACGAAGAGACAACGAGAAGAGAAGAGAGGAGGAGGAGGAAGAGGAGGAGGAGGAGGAAGAGGAGGAGGAGGAAGAAGAAGGCGTAGGCTATGCGCGTGTGGATGTCGTTTACCTCTCGGAGTTATTTGGCCCCATCGTGGCATGAACGTTCGAACCACGAATGAGAGAAGAGACACACGAATATAAGCAAGAGAGTTTGTGGAGTGCCAAGTGAAAGAGAAAGAAAAATCGAGAGAGGGAGAGGGAACGTTTGTCTGTATTTGTACGAATGTTCGTACGTGTGTGCGTACGTGCGGGCGCGCGCACGCATGTTTTTTCGTCTTCAAAAAATATTCTCAACAACTTTTGAAATCATTTAATAAACGATTACCTCGAGTTGTTAGATTTTGCATTAGAATTATATTTCCTTCCTTCGCGTCGAGTAAACTAATATGAGAATGAAAGAAAGAGAAAGGACACTTCGTCCTTTTTATTTCGAAAGGACGTGTCTCCGAAGACGTGTTCGGTTTGTATAAATCGCGTAAGAGTCTTTTTCCCCCCACCACCCAAAACTCTCTCGTGTCAGCACCGAAATGATGATTTTTTCTTTTTTTTTTCTCTCTTCGGCAACGCGTATATAGGATGAATACTCACTCTCTTCTCATTCTTTTTCTCTCTGTATCTACGCAATTTGTCAACACGAAATAATTATTTGAATTTCAGATATATAATACGTTTCATCATCGTCCATATATTTTTCGATTCTCGTTTCGAAATCATTTCTTCAATGATAAAAATTTGCGTAATGTTGTTTTTGTTTTTTATTTTTTCTTCTTCTCCTTCTACTTCTTCTTACTATACTACGCCGTTAACGTAACTATTCATCCTTGGATAGAACGATGAGTCATGGTTTAAAAAAATTTTTTTTATTTCGTAATTAACTCGAAAAAGTAGTAATAGTTGGGGAGGTTGAAGCGGAGGAAGAAGAAAAGGAAGGAACGATGTAAGAGATTCATATCGAACAACACATTAATTCATTTGTTTCATGAACGTTTCATTCGTTCTAGCCTAGAGTTGTGGACTCTCCGACACACCAGTAGTGAGTTGGCATAGTTCAACGAGGAACCGGCGATAACAAATGGTTACGATAATAGCCAGCTCCGTGAGAGACCGGATACGGCTCGTCTCATGAAATTATCTATGCTAGACTAACTCTCTCTCTCTTTCTGTCTTTCTCGACGAGAGGAACCGATCCGTAGCGTAGAGAGAAAATGATCCATAGATCACTATTACGAGCTAGTCTAATAATATTTTTCTCCTATTTTTTTTTTTCTTTTTCTTTATATTTTTGTTGTTGTATTTTATCGATCGGTAAAAAAGAGAAATCTTTGCAATATAAGAAAAAAAGGAGTTGACATTTTTTTTGGCAACATAATATGTTATATATATATATATATGTTACCGTGAAAGACCGAAATTGGAGAATGTCACGATTCATATGATCGCATGGTATGTGTTCGAAATATTAAGATATCAAATTAATACATTCCTACACTTAATATATTATTTTATTATATATATATTATTCTCCCCTTTGAAGGGTCCATACTTTTTACAAATGTTTAACACATCCTCCCATTTCTCCGCACATTAATACACAACTCACAATTATCTGAACATATAACGAAAAGCTAATATAAATATATTTAATATAATGCTAATATAATTACTTTTTCTTTCTCTTTATCTTTCTTTGTTTTCTACAATTTGCAATTTGTGAAAAGGAATAATTATTTGAATTTCAGATAATATGTTTCATCTAATAATAATTAAAAATAAGTAATGAATAAAGTAATGATTATAAAAGGAAGATAAATGTGGAGTAAGTGTGTGTCAAATGAAAATATAATATTATAATAAATAAATAAAATTGATGAAAATTGTAAATATATAAAAAAAAAAAGAAAAATAGAAAAATAGAATAAGCATGGCAAAGAGAGACAGTTATAATCTAATTACAGATTATATTGTGTTTAAAAGTCATTCCCCTGTGTGCGGTTCGAACGGGTTTCGCAAGGGACCGCGAACGGTGTCGATGATAAAAAGAATGTTACTACTATGGAAAAGTTAGTGGGCGAACACTCACGAACGATAAGCGGCTGGAATCACAAGGTGGTATTTAACTCGTTCGCATCCATAAGTGCACCAGCAGCATGCCGTTATGACCATGGCCTTAATCGCGGAGCCATATACAACGACACGTTCAAACAGAGAGAAAGAGAGAGAGAGAGAGAGTGAAAGAAAGAAAGAAAGAAAGAAAAGAAACAGACATATACATATGATTATTCTCTACCACATTTTTATACACCTTCCTACCTCTCTCCCTCACCCCCCCCCCCCCCCCCCCCGTTTATGATACGAACGAAGCTATGATATGATGTGGTATTCTAAACGAAAGTGTAGGACATAGATTAGTGGTGGTTTGTGGACTCAATTTTTTAGTTTTTTTCATAATTATTTCAATGCCTGTACGCTTCCTTTGATTTTGATGCCAATGTAACCATTATATATATATTCGAGATATTGTATTATAAATTAAATATTATAATAAAAGTGTATATATAGAAATGCATAAATTTCTGGTTGTTTTTGGACTAAATGTTTTAATGCTTTTTTAGTATTTATTTCGGTTCACATGGTATAATAATCTAAACACATACGTACATACGTATATTGGTTTTGTAAATCTTCTAACCATAAATAAATTTTGATAATTTGATGTGTAGGAGGATTATTAGATAATTTAAATAAATATATTAATGTCTCCTAGATTTTACTTTATAGTTAATGTTCAATCTTTTTTAATAATTTAAGTGTACCAGAAAATATAATACACTATTTATAAGAAACGTCAGAGGATTGGAGCTTGCAAGCAAGCTCCTACTTAACATCCACTTTAAGTACTAGTAATAAACCAAGAAATGGATCACAAGTGTTGTGCTTTAAAAGCTTCTTATTAATCTATTCTTGACTGTGACTATATAATGGATCGTGTTCTTTATTTTTTTTAGCATTATAAACTTTATCGTTTTACATATGCATGTGTATAAATATATGTATATATAAACATATGTTATGATCATTTTAAAAAGTCAGTGGCTTTTATCTTTTATGTGTGTGTGTGTGTGTAAAGTGAAAAATGATGAAATAAAATAATAAGAGAAAAAAAACATAATAAATAAAAATGAAAAATAGCCCTAATAAATATTTTTGATTATAAATTATAAAAATAGATATATACAAAAATTACATTCTAAAATTGTAGTTCAACAACCTTTACTAATTTCGACTAAATTTATTCTAAATAATCTATTTTAAATTTATCTAAACTCGTTGTAAATAAAAAATACAAAAAATATCTAAATTAAATGTTTCCGGCAAATAATTATAAAAATATACATATATGAATATGAATTATTTTATATAATGATTGTAGTTGAATAACTTTTACTACCATTAACACTAGAACTACCAAAAGTTGTTATATACCTATTTCTACCAAACCGGTCATTTTGACCGGCCTGATATTTAATTGGCAAAATATAAATATTCAAAGAAAAGTTTTTTAAAAAAAATAAAATATATTTTATTCTAATATTGCAAGTACATGATATATACATCTATTTATATATATATCTAAGAGAAATATATGAAATAAAACAACAATGCACATAAATTAAATATAAATCTAAAGAAATATTATTAATTAAAATAAAATTGTCGTAAGAAAGAACAATAAGAAAAACACAAAATTAAAAATTATAATTACACAAATATATATTTATAACGTAACGATATAATTGTGAACAACGAATAAAAATAATAATTAGAAATAATAATAAAAAAAAAAAGAGAAGAAAAAGAAGAGAATACCTCGTGCAGTAAATTTGAAATCGTTTTTCCCGCGCATCGTAAATATCGACAACTTCGTGGTGTCGATTTTTCGGTCGCATCTAACTTCACTTTTCTAAAACGCGCCGAAAGGAGTATAATTTCGAAAAAAAATTGTAAAATATAATTAAACAAATCTATATATAGCATAAGAATAATGAAAAAAGAAAAAAAAAGAAAAAAAAAGAAATTGATTGCCAAAAAAAAAAGAGAAGAACAAAATGATATATATCGTAGGAAAAGACGATAGTTTTCCTCGAAAGAAAGACAGAGAGACAGAGAGAGAGAGAGAGAGAAAGAGGTGGGAATAAAATCTCGAATGGAGGAGTTTTCATGGCAGGCGCGTGCGGCCGAGAGTGCGAAATACGCGCTTGACCTTAGAACCAGTCATCGCACCGCGAGGTCGACGGATAAATCGCCGGAGTGGAAAACAAGAAACCGACGTGGTGGTGTGTTGTGTGTACGCCGTGCCGCGCCACGCCGGCGCTCTTTCTCTATCTTTTTCTCTACTTCTACTACTTCTTCTTCTTCTTCTTCTTCTTCTTCTTTACCATCTCTTTTTGACTTATTCTTCAAAACATCGAATCGCATCCGAACGTATGAACGAATGAACGGAAGGCGCCTTATCTGTTCACGATG